GAATTGTGTTTAAGGCAAATTAGCCAAGATGACAGTTTGCTTAAAACTTAGATTTATTCATAAACAAATAATTTAGTCACAGTTTGTTTACCTTTTATGATTTATTTTACAATTTAAGTGGGTTTTACACACATTGTAATTCACAAATTTTAAGGGTAGTCATCCATAGTGATGAGTTTTGATACACAAAAGCAGGACCATGCAATCCCCACATCTATCAAATGAACATTTCCCTTATACCAGAAAGTCCCTCAGTAAAGTCCCCACTACCATAGAGGCAATCACTGTTTTAATATATTTTCCACTATGGATTTGTTGTGTATGGACCTTCTAATAATATATAGTATATACTGCAAATCCTTGGACTGCTAGTAACTTGTTCTGCAAGTGTTCTGCAAAATGAGCAAACATTTCTAGTAAATTTAAACTTGGTAAAGGAACAATGTCTTGCAATACAAGTAGTACATGATACCAGATTTATGATCACAGCTGAGCCAGTGGTTCTTGAAATTCACTTTGTTACAGGAGTACTTTGGATTACACACGTTTCCAGAATGAATTATGCTCGCAAACCAAGGGTTTACTGTATACTATTTACTGTAGCATATATAATTTCTCTTCTGTTTGACACCGTTAACTTGTCTACCTGTGAGAATCATAAACATTGATGTGTGTATCACTAGTTCATTCAGTGTTGCACTAGAGAAGTACCAAGACTTAACCTTAACTACTACCAATAAATTTCATGGTATGGAAAACAGCATTCCTTAGGCTTGTCTTTCATTTTGTTTTAAAAAAAAATTTTTGTTTATATAGTTTTGATAGAGAGAGAGAGACAGAATGTGAGCAGGGGAGGGGCCGAGAAAGAAGGAGACACAAAATCTGAAGCAGGCTCCAGGCGCTGAGCTGTCAGCACTGAGCCTGACATGGGGCTTGAACCCACGAACCACAAGGTCATAACCTGAGCCAAACTTAGACACTTAGCCAGCTGAGCCACCCAGGCACCTCAAGCTTGACTTTCTTTTTAAATCTTCAATAGAGTATGCATTTCAATTCACCCTCAATTTTTAAAAAAATTATTTTATGTTATGTAAAATGTACATACACTGAAAAGCATACAAACTATAAGCTTGAATGAAAAATAATAGTTATGGAGAAAACATTTATGCACCCAAAGCTTGACTCAAAAAATAGAACATCATTACCACTAAGTAGGCTATTGAAATGTCTTTTCATGACCACAGTCCTTTTTCCACCCTACAGATGATCACTGTGCTGACTTTTCAAGTAACCCTTTAATGCGTTTTCCTTACAGGTTTATGACCTAGGTATATATACCTAAAATTATAGTATCATTACATGTTTCTGAATTTTTATATGGATGAAATCTTACTATAAATGTGTTTTAATTCTTTCACTCAGTATTATATAAGAGTTCTGATAGGCAGACTCCAAGAAAGCCCAGTGATTTCCACCTCTTGGTGTTCAGAGTCTCATGTAATTCCCTCCCCTTGCTTGTAAGCCACAGGATATGACAACATCAAGTGATTGAGTTACAAAAGATTGTGACTTCCATCTTAATGCCAACTCTTTCTCTCTCTGTCACTGGCTTTGATGAAGCCAGGTGCTATGTGGGGAGAGATCCTTGCAGCAAAGAACTGAACATAGTCTTCATTCAACAACCAGCAGGGAAGCAAGGTCCTCCCTCCTGTGGCCCATGTGGAAATGAATCCTGCCAATGATCACATAAGTGAACTTGGAAATAGATTCTTCCCCAGTCCAGACCTCAGATGAGACCCCAGTGCCAGCCAGCACCTTGGGTGCAGCCTTGTGAAATCCTATGAAATGGAGAGTCTGGGTGGACCATATCTGGATTTCGATACACAGAAACAGAGAAAATAGATTCACTCTAAGCTGCTAAATTTTGAGGTAATGTTACATAAAAATAGATAACCTGTACAGATTTATCTAGGACAACAGCACACACAGGTGAAAAGAGAGGGATCAAAAGATGCTGAGAAAAATAGAAATGCTAAAATAAATATAGTCATAAGGTTACAAAGCCCAAGTAGCCATTCCTTAGGAGGGTCTGGGTGTTTTTGTTTTCCATGATATTAAGGAATCATCACGTACCATTGTCAGCAGCATCTTGGGAAAGGAGTGCCTATTCTCTAAAGTTAGAGGTTGTGGTAGGGAACACCGTGACCAAACTATGCTCCCTAGGAATAATGGGGATGGTCATACCTCTGAATGACAGAGTCCGCGTGACATATTTAATTGTAGGAAGTAATGTGGGTATACTTATGTGATGGACAACAAGGTTGGACTGACAAAGGGGACAGAATGAAATGTGATCCTCAGATATCTATCAATATGGATAATAGAGTATGATGTCCCTCAATATATACACAGCCAACTCAGGTACACCTTTATGTGTGTGTGTGTGTGTGTGTGTGTGTGTGTATGCATGTGCACTTGCATGTGCCCTCATGTGTGTGCATGTATTTAAAGAGCATAGCAATAAAAAAACAAAGGCTGAGGTCACTGATCCGATGTAAAGTCATGATCCATGACACAGTTTGCAGACTTCAAGCTATGCTTTTCATAGACCTAGAAACCATTAAAACAAAAATAGAGATGGCTCAGATGAAGGCCACTAAAGGACCACAAGAAGTATACATCATAGAATTTCATAGGTCCTTGTCCAGGGAATCTACAGCCGTTGTCTCAGAGCAAGGTGAAATACTCATATGTTTGCAGGCTATTGGACATGGGATCTGCGTTGAACTCACTGTGGATACCCACAATCATTCATGGCCTCTATTTGAATACAGTGATTGAGATGTGAGAGTTAAAGGAGAAGTTTCCCCACTACCTTCATCCCAGTGATTCAATAAGGAGCTACTTTGCCGCCTTCTGCCATAATTGTAGGCTACATACATCTAGAGGTCTCGACTCCAAGACAGGAAAACCAACTGGAAGGGACATGGTAAAGTTCTGACTGGAATTAAACCTCTGGCTGCCACTTTATCCCTTTGGGCTTCTAGTGTCAGGAAATCAGCAGGCAATGTTAGGAGCTATGGGGTCCAGAAGGATTATGTTTAGCATTAGGGGATCTAGAGGGGCGTTCGTGGTATTCCTATTCCCGGCATTAACTGCAGATGGGCAGCATAGCCTGAAGAGGACATAGGAACCGTGGGCTCAGGACTCTCAGGGTTGGGGATGTAGGTCACTGCCTCAGAGACAAGTCAGCTAAAGGATCAGAGGAGCTGCCCACTAACCCTCATCTTGTTGGTTTTTACACATGTTGTGACAAACCACATGGAACGAGGTTAATGAGAGAAATCTATAAACATTAGCAGAGCCAGGGGTAAATATATGATATCCCATTCAGATGCTCTTTGCCATAAATGCCCTCCTCCACAAAGTAGTGCGAGTATTGACTATGAGTGGCTCACACTGATCACCCACACTGCAACTACAGTTAATTTCTCAGACTAAGGGGGGACCACACCTGGAGTTCTTTCCTCTCCATCCTTTCCACCCACCAAAGGATGTCAAACGGGAGTGATAAGTGACATAGGAGTACAAAGGCCCAAAGCCTTTGTGACTAAGATGAGCAAGTCCGTGGCACAGTACACACCGCTCATCTGTGGGTCAAGTATGAGGGTGGAGTTGAACTTAAACCACATTTTGTCTTAGCTTCTGTATGCTGACTCCCCTTTATTTCTGATTCTGGCGAGAGCATTTTCATATGCCTTACTTATGCAGGAATACCTATTTTAGGCTCTGCTGCCTTTTTTTTTTTTTTTTAATGCAATATAAGCATCACAGTTGGGAGTGGTCCAGCCTAAACATACCTCCTTTAGGGAGACAGTTCCTGACACAGTGAGCTGTTTTACTTGTAGGAGTATGTCCTGTCCCTCAGATATATGATCTTTTAAAAATTGGACAGAAGTATTCTAAAACCAAATGCACCAAAACTATGAGAAGAAACAGCATCCTCTGAAAAGATTTAGTGGTTCAGTGGAGAATAAGTTAGAGAGTTGACTATGTCCATTGTGACCATTCATATGATAGGGAAATGTTTGAGGGCGCTGTTACTGAGACTTGGAACACAGGTGGTAGAGTGACATCAGGGTCAGACCCCAAAACAGAGGTTTGAGACCAAGTAGTTTGTTTGGGGATGATCCCAAGCAGTGCTCTAGGGAAGCTGCGAGGTGATTCCGGGAGGCATTGGAAGCCAAGCCTGAATGATTTCCAGAGCAGGTGACTCCTGTGGGCAGCCTGGGTTTGTTCAGTGCAACTGATGCCCTCTGGTCTCACACGCCCCCTCTCAGGTAAAGAGGCTAGAGCACTTATCCACCAAGTCCTGCCCATTGGTTAAGCACTTTTCCCAGAGACTTCCCTACCTCTATCCTGTAGAGATCTTGCTCCTTCATCTATACTAAGCCCTCCACAGAGAGTTCCAGGTGCTTGCCATAATCCACCACTACACTGTTAGCATGGTAAGTGCTGAGGTGATAGAAGTGAAAATCCTGAAATCACCTGCTATGATCTCCTCATTGTGCAGAGAACACTAGAATTGACAGCAAAGGGTGACCGTTCATGAAGGAAAAATAACAAGACAAGATTTCTTATATTTGTATGCCTGGGAAATTAAGATTTATTTGACATATAGACATATCTCCATACAGAATATTGAGAGTAACATATATCAATTAAAATGACATGTTAACAGATATCAGAGAATATAAAACCTTTGCATTGGTATGGGACGGAGATAGTAACAAGGAGGTGAGAGAGTGGAGTGGTGTGTGGGGGGGGATGGAAGCCAACACAGTTGAAAAATCAGTGGGAACTGAAGTTTTATACTTAGCCTCACATGATTCAGCTCACAGTTGGACTACATCAAGACTGGTTGATGAAAGACAGCAGAGTACCGGTCAGGGGACTCAGCAGCAAGAGCCACTAGAGCAATTTGGTTCACAGCAGTGAGTCTAGCAACAGCTGGGGCGGCAGCAGCTGGAGACACAGCAGCTGGGGCGGCAGCAGCTGGACACACAGCAGGTGGGGCGGCAGCAGGTGGTCCTGCAGCAGGTGGTTTGGCAGCAGGTGGGGCGGCAGCAAGGCTGGCAGCAGCTGGAGCCACAGCAGCTGGGGCGGCAGCAGCTGGACACACAGAAGCTGGGGCGGCAGCAGGTGGTCCTGCAGCAGGTGGTCCGGCAGCAGGTGGGGCGGCAGCAAGGCTGGCAACAGCTGGAGCCACAGCAGCTGGGGCGGCAGCAGCTAGAGATGCAGCAGGTGGGGCGGCAGCAGGTGGTCCTGCAGCAGGTGGTCTGGCAGCAGGTGGGGCGGCAGCAAGGCTGGCAGCAGCTGGAGCCACAGCAGCTGGGGCGGCAGCAGCT